CAACTGATTCTCAACTTTCCAAAAAATCCATTTTGATGCTAAAATTATATTTTATTTGTGTTAACTTGAAGTAGAGGTGAATTCATCTTATTCAATCCAATATTTTTATCAAATAATTATTTTAAGCAATAAATATTAAAATAATCAATAAAATTATTTTCTTAATTTGTATTATTAAGAACAGAATTCAATAATTACATAAGCATTAGTTTGAATTTTCATCAAAAAAACAAAAAATGATTTTTTAGAGAAAGATGACAAAAAATGATAGAGTCAATAAATTGAAAATTTCTAATCTATTTTATATTCAAAAAACTTTAAAAGTCCTTCTAAGAATTTCTAAGATGAATCAAAGCTTTCAAATAAAAAAAATAAACCATTAAAATTGCCCAAAAATTTATAAAAAAATGAAATTTAGACTAGATTGATTCGAGCTTCATCTAACTATCTATAATCATTATAGAGATTGAATAATTCTTTTTTATTTAGTAATGAAGAAAAAAATCTATTCTGAGTTTCGAAATTAAAATTATTCAAAGTTTTAGATGAAGTTTTAAATACAGATGTTATAGTGTTGATAATTAATGGAAAGCTATTTACATTATCTATTTCGTTTTTATAAAACTTATTAATCTCATATTGCTAAAAAACTGATATAAAATTAAGCTTACCCTAATTTAAAAGATTTTCTAATAATTCTATTGCTAGAACTATAATTTTGAGATTCTTCTGATTATAATATTATATATATGAGCAATCTTGATATTGATTGAAATATTGAAATTTTAAAAAAAATGTTTTCTTAATAATTTATATTCCAATTTTGAATCAATTTAATTAATTACCAAAATTGTAGGAGGGATATATAATAAACTTGAAGAAACCATTAGAGAAGAAAATGAGGTTAACATGGAGATCAGATAATCGTAGAAGAATAATAATAGAAGAATCAGGAAATGAGAGCAAGTCAAATTATAGTAGAGTAGATATAGAGATCCTAGATTAGAAGTTGAACAAATAGAATCAGATCATGTAGAAGAGATTAAGAAGTATGGGATGATATATAAGTTTACAGATGCCTTTAAAAACTCAATAAGATTTATATAAGGAAGGATAATCAGAAGGATAAGAAATTCTTTTTAAGACTAGATTAGACGAGAGAAAGAAGGATAGGTTTTTTATAACTTCTAAGGATGTAAAATAGAGTGGCTAGGAGCTAAGAGATTAGAAACAAGGTGACGAACAAGAGAGTAGTAGACGTAAAGACACACATACATCTAGGTATAATAATAAGAAAACAATAACAAAAGTATAAACAACAGTTATTTCAGTTATGATTATTCATTCAATAAACATAATACATTAATATTTATATCCTATATTTATTTAATTGTCTAAAGATATATTTTATAAATTAGGAAGTTGTTCATCAATTTATTATCTTTTTAACTGGAAAAATTAATAATAAAAATTAAACATAAGCTATCTTTTCCATATGATTGAATGATATTCTTGAAGAAACTATCTTGATTTTGAGGATTAATTGTGATGGTATTATGTCATTAGAAATCAGTTAAAAACAATTTTTTAATGTTCTATTTTGATGATGTATATATATTTATAAATTTTTATAGTTTTTAAAGTGACTATAATGTCAAGAGAATGTGTTTACCAACACCCACATTATAGAAGAGACTTGATATTATTTTGATCAAATGGAATCAATTGTGTCATAATTATTTTGGATTTATATTTTAGAATATTATCAATCATTTTTTTAAATGATTGACCTATGAAGGATATTTCAAATGGTTAATAATTGTAATTTATGTATTGTTAATTTTACTTGTTTGTTTGGCATAGAGGTAATTTGCAAGATCAACATATTATTAGGATTCTTCAAATCTATTTAAGCTTTTTAATGCTTATGCTTTATTTTTTAATATTAATTAAAATTTACCTTTATTTTGAAATGCTTTACAATCTTCAGGGTTTTTTTAAATTGCTAAATCATATTATTCTAATGCTTCTTCAAATCTGTTTAAGCTTTATAATGCAACTCCTTTATTCAAACCTAATTTTACCTTTATTATTATATATGTCAGCTTGTTCAGGATTTTTTTAAATTGCGTAATCATAATATTATAATGCTTCTTCAAATCGGTTTAAGCTTTATAATGCAATTGCTTTATTTTAATATTAACTCTAATTTACCTTTATTAAAGAAGGCCATAAAATCTTCGGGGTTTTTTGAAAATGCCTGATCAAAAAATAATAATGCTTCTTCAAATCTATTTAAGCTTTATAATGCAATTGCTTTAGTTTAATATTATTTCATATTTACCTTTATTTTGCAACGACTTAAAATCTTCAGGATTTTTTTAAATTGCGTAATCATAATATTATAATGCTTCTTCAAATCTGTTTAAGCTTTATAATACAATTCCTATATTTACATCTTAAAGAAAATATACCTTTATTAAAAAATGCCATAAAATCGTCAGGTTTTTTTGAAATTGAATAATCATAATATTCTAAAGCCTCTGAATATCTGTTTAACTTGTAGAAGACATTTGCTTTATTTTAATATTAATTCTTATATACCTTTATTTTGAAATGCTTTAAAATCTTCTGGATTTTTTTAAATTGCCTGATCACAACATTATAATGCTTCTTCAAATCTGTTTAAACTTACTAATACATTTGCTTTATATTAATAATCATCAAATTTACCTTTATTATTATATATGTCAGCACATTCAGGATTTATCAAAATTGCCTGATCAGAAAATTATAATGCTTCTTCAAATCTTTTGAGGCTTTTTAATGCAATTGCTTTATTATAATACTATTTAAATGTACCTTTCTACAAAAATGCTTTAAAATCTTCAGGATTTTTTTAAATCGCATAATCATAATATTTTAAAGCCTCTGAAAATCTGTTTAAGTTTTATAAGGCATTTGCTTTATTATAATATGCAATAGTATTTTCAGGATTTTTTTAAATTGCAGAATCATAATATTATAATGCTTCTTCAAATCTGTTTAAGTTTTATAATACAATTCCTATATTTAGATATAAAGAAAATATACCTTTATTTTGAAACGCCCTAAAATCTTCTGGATTTTTTTAAATTGCCTGATCACAACATTATAATGCTTTTTCAAATCTTTTCAAACTTTTCAATACACTTGCTTTATTTTAATAATAATTAAAATTTACCTTTATTATTATATATGTCAGCACATTCAGGATTTTTTTAAATTGCATAGTCATAATACTGTAATGCTTCATCAAATCTGTTTAAACTTTATAAAGCATATGCTTAATTTAAATAGTGATACAAAGTTACCTTTCCCAAAAAATACCATATCATCTTCAAAATTGTTTTAAATTGAGTAATCATAATATTACAATGCTTCTTCAAATCTATTTAAGCTTTATAATGCAAATGCTTTATTTTAATGTTAACTCTAATTTACCTTTATTTTGAAATGCCCTAAAATCTTCTGGATTTTTTTAAATTGCCTGATCACAACATTATAATGCTTCTTCAAATCTGTTCAAACTTTTCAATACACTTGCTTTATTTTAATAATAATTAAAATTTACCTTTATTATTATATATGTCAGCACATTCAGGATTTTTTTAAATTGCATAATCATAATATTCTAATGCTTCTTCTAATCTGTTTAAGCATTTTAATGCATTTGCTGCATTTTATTAATAATTCATGTATACCTTTATTTTGAAATCCCCTAAAATCTTCTGGATTTTTTTAAATTGCCTGATCACAACATTATAATGCTTCTTCAAATCTGTTCAAACTTTTCAATACACTTGCTTTATTTTAATAATAATTAAAATTTACCTTTATTATTAGATATGTCAGCACATTTAGGATTTTTTTAAATTGCATAATCATAATATTCTAATGCTTCTTCAAATCTATTCAAGCTTTATAATGCATTTGCTTTATTAAAAAATAATTTTACCTTTATTATTATATATTTCAGCACATTTAGGATTTTTTTATATTGCCTAATCATAATTTTGTAATGCTTCTTCAAATCTGTTTAAACTTTTCAATACACTGGCTTTATTTTGTTAATAATTAAAATTTACCTTTATTATTATATAAGTCCGCACATTGAGGATTTTTTTAAATTGCATAGTCATAATACTGTAATGCTTCTTCAAATCTGTTTAAACTTTTTAATGCATTTGCTTTAGTTGAATATTAATTAAAAATAACCTTTATTTTCCAATGCTCTTACATTTTCAGGGTTTAATTATATTGCATTATCACAACATTATAGCACCTCTTCAAATCTGTTTAAACTTTATAATGCATTTGCTTTATTTTGATATTATTTAACAATTACCTTTATTGTTATATATGTCCGCATATTAAGAATTTTTTGAAATTGCAAAATCATAATACTGTAATGCCTCTTCAAATTTTTTTAAATTTTATAATGCATTTGCTTTATTTTGATTTTAATTTACATTTACCTTTATTTTGATAAGCTTTAAAATCTTCTGGGTTTTTTTAAATCGCATAATCATAATTTTATAATGCTTCTTCAAATCTTTTTAGGCTTTAATATACATTTGCTTTACTAAAAATTAATTTTACCCTTAATATTGTATATCTCAGCACATTCAGGATTTTTTTAAATTGCATAGTCATAATACTTTAAGGCTTCTTCAAATCTATTTAAACTTTTTAATGCATTAGCTTCATAATAATAATAATATGAAGTTTACCTTTATCAAAAAATGCCTAAAAATTTTCTGGATATTTGTAAATTGCATAATCATAATATAATATTGCTTATTTAAATTGATTTAATTTTTGTAAAACATTCCCTATATTATATTTTCTTATATTTACCTTTATAAACAAGTTTTTCGTAATCATTACCATTTTTTTCAATTTTGCAATTACGTTTTTATAATATATTTTCAAATATAAAGTTTATTGTATCATTATTATCATTTTTTTCTTCAAATTATTCTTTTGTATAATATATATATCCCCTTTTTTTTGCAAGTTTTTATAAATTTTCAACAGTTATTTTCTAGTCATCTTCAATTAATTAGTTGTTTAATTATTTCTTATTTTTTTATCTAACAACCTTGTTTTTTTATAATTACTTTAATAATTATCTCTATCATATTCTCTTTTATTTACATTTCTAATTTTGACTTAATTCCTCACTACTTATTCCTGATATGAATATTTAAATGATTTTTATTACAAAAGAGTTGATTACTAATTTTCTGCTTGAAGAAAATATTAAATAGTTTATATCACCATTTTAATTCTTTTCGATTATTAGATTTACTTTTTCTCTCTTTGTTTCTTTTCAAAATCCCATTAACCTATGTTTTTAAAAATCATAAAAATTTATTATTTATAATAAACAAATTAATTACTTTTTAACATATAAAAATGAATTTCCTGCATTTAATGGATAAAGAAAAATACCTTGATCTATTTCAGGTTTGGTTTTCACTTCATGGATGACTTGACAAATACTTAGGCTTATGTTGGCCTACCTTCTATGTGTTGGGTACCGACCTCCTTTGTATGTGAAATCTACATGTAATTATAATAATTTAATTGATTTGAATAAATTTTTTATTTTAGTTAAAACTAAATTTGAAGAATTTAAAAATAAATGGAAAATATAAAGTATTAATTTATTTGAATATCTGAATGTTTAAGATAATAAGATTTATCTAAAAATAAATATAAAACTTAGAATCGAAAAAGGAATGGTATTAATATTTCAATAATATAAGGTAGAAATATAAATAACAAATGAGGTTTTATCG